TTATTCTCTATTTTGCCATATGTTTATTCGTCCCTTGGAAAAGGGGAATTGCTGTCAGTAGGGAGTGTAAATTTGGCCGAGCTGTCATAGACCTAGCTCGCAATATTAGAGATTTAAAACGGTCCGGATCAGAAACTACTAAAATATGATACGGCTTGGCCCAGGAGGCTTGACCGCGGACATGCACTGAAGCCTTACTGACCCGGATTCAGGCTAAAAAATTGTTTTGGTAAAGGATTAAAAGAGACTTTAATTCTTAGTTTTTTCTGGACTGCTCTTCATATTCTATCGTTATCAAATCATCCGGACAATCAGAATGTAGATCCGATACTACTGGCGCTTTTGGCGATTCATACACATTTTGCTTGCGTTCTGGGAGATGAGAGAATTCGCTTGGGCGTTAGTTTGGAAATATGGCAAATGGGGCGAGAAAAAACGAGATGATGAAAAATGGCTGATGAAAGTATCAGAGTAAGCTTCGGCCATACTGGCGCGAAAATGTGTGGACAGATAAATATTTGAGAATTACCGAAAGAAGATTAATTTACCCAGTTGTTGATTCCGCACGGCACCGTATAATTGTTTGTTGTAGCTATATTGGGAAAATGGTTTTTGAGGCACTGCTCACGCTGCAACAAAGAGCTCAATTATGAAAAGGCGAGCTTTTCGACATCTCAGTCTTCTCTGTAGTACCCTGTGGACGCGGAAAAAAAGCAGAGGAAAAATAGACCTGTAGTGATAGAAGATCAGTGTTAACTAATGAAGAGCTGCAAATTTTGGTTAGAGGATTGAACTGGAGAATTTTAGCCCTTCTAGCTGGCTGAACTCATTCAGAGTGCTAGTAGCACGGTATTTATGCAGTTTCGGTGTTTCGAGCTTGGCTTCCTAAGCTACGCATACTTTCAAAAACAATTTTTTTTTTCGAGAATTGCAATGAGTTCTTAGCGTCGGCAGTTTTCTGTAAACTCGCAAAGCATGCTTCAAATCCTTCCTAAAAGATTGCAGAAATCTTGATGAGTTCCCTGGGAACGTTAAAAACTGGAAGAAAAAATTGACAAATTTTGCTTGCTACCGTAGTATCGTTATCCGCATAGATAGCTGCAATCATTGGCAGTGCGTAGTGTTTCGCGAATGATTCGTTGTAACGTGGCAACTGATCCTCGGGGCGTGGACAGTTGAAAACAAATTGCGCACGCAGTGGTATTGGACAAAAATTTAGCTGTGGGTGACAGCGATTATCCATAGCGCACCACCTGAACTGTATGTATGTTTTTCACTTTGAGTTTACGGCAAAGATTTTAACATGCTCTTCTGGAAGTCACGTAGTCAGGCAGCTATTTATGCTCGAAATGCTTGTTCAAATAGCTTTGAAATTTCAAAACAGGCGATGGCTGCTGATGGAGGTATGCACTGACTAGCATCGAAGAATCTGGAATAGTTCCGCTCAGCTTGTGCGAGCATCCGAGTAACAACACGAACACGGGATATCCACACTGATTGTTCAGACAGTTCTTCTAACAATATTCAGCAAACCCGACTTAAGCACATGACTGAGTTGTGAAAAAACTGCCCAGAATCGGCAAGGCCGTTTGAGCTGATGATGTGAAACTCCAACAAATTTCTAAAATATTTCGAGCGGCTATGCCAAGATTTTCTGATTTAGGCTGCATGCTTTTAGTTTCTACCCTATACATTCACCGGGTAAGTGCGCCACCCCTCGGCGGTCCTCTCCGAGTGGGTTTTTCTGCTATTCTTAAGCATCTTCCTTCATTATGCAACTTGTGTCAAAACTATACA